CTGGAGAAAACCCCCACTTCAGCCCAAAAAAAAAAAAAAAACCAACCCATTCCTGCCTCATCTGGGCTGGAGCCCACATGGAAGGATTAGATTGACTGCACACAGCAGATCGCTTGGCACCAGAGCAGGAAGTGAGTCAGGATCACACWGGCAACAGAGGCATTAAATAACTTTGTTCAGAACTCCCAGCACTCGGGGAAGCTCCCAAACCCTCCACAGCACCACTCAGTGCTCTTGCTGTGACATCCATAGAGATTTTCCTCTGGAGACAAAAATGTCACCTCTGACTCCTGCTTTACCCTGAGATTTTTAATTGGGAAGCACAGGCAAGGAAAATGCCATCTGTTGGTACAAATTCTGCAGCCCTGCTCCTGTGTGTGCCCAGCTGATACAGGACAGGAGCTGACAGGTTCCTGCTTTGGTGGAAAAYGTTAAAAAAAATCTCTTTTGGCACATGAAGGGGATTGGTTTATTCCCAGGAAAAGCAAAGATCCCAGGGCTGGGAGTGAGGGAAGGGGACCAGGCACAGGATTTGTGTCCAAGCTCAGAGGGCAAAGCACAAACTCTGTCAGGGTTTGTGCCTGGTGAGGCTCGACAGCTTCCAGCAAAAAGRGCATTTTTTATTTCCTGGAGCAGAGTTCTGGGCTTTCCTGGGTGTAAATCAGGAAGGCTCAGCCCCTCTGAGTGCCCTGACACATTCACATCCATGCTGGATTTCCCCTCTGCACACACACAGGGCTCTGCTGAGAGCCAAACTCTGCTTCTGCTTCATCCAGGGGCATTTTAAAGTGAGGATTTATTCCCAGTGGAACAGGTCCTGCTCCTTTCCCCTTCACAGCCACAGAATTCTTTGCATCTGAAACACTCCAACTCCAGCTCCTCTGAGCCACAGATTTTTTCTGACTGATCTTCACTCTGGTTTTACCACCTGCTACTGAGGGGTTTTTATTCCCTCTCTTTGTTGAATGTCTCCAGGTTCTGGTTTTATCTCTACATTTCAGCTCCAAATCTGTAATTGAGGCAGTAGGAAAGGTTTTTATGCAGAGTCCAGGTAAGGTCATGCCCAAATAATGGGTAGAAACAYGATATTCAGAAAACTTCTTTTGAAAACAAGTAGAAGGTGKCCCTRTCCATGGCAGGRATGGAATAAAACCAACCCAAATCAGTCTGGGATTCAAAGATTAAAAGCTGCAGAGAAACAGATCTAATTTAACCAACTCCAACTTCAGCAGCTTTATAATCACCCTGGGCAACTGCTTTGAAGTGTGTCCCTTCAAACTGGAATGAATCAGATTTGATAAAAATAAAAGTCTTAATAGAAAAAATAACAATTTATAGAGTTCTCTTTGCTTTAAGCATTAACAAAAAGGAACRTTAAGTCTTTGAAATGCARTGTTCTGGGCTGAGATGGCATGTTAAATATTTGCAATGAATGTGAAATTAGAGAATCATCTGCTGGCTTTATTCGCAGCCTGGCTTTAGGTATTTATTATTTAAAAGGTGAAAAAAAGCCAACTTTCTACCAAAATAATGATCGGGAGTTTAATTAAACCCATAARCAGCAATCCAGAAAAATGCAAGGTTGCAAAACAGCTTTTCCCTCCAAATGATTGGATTTTACACATTTACATTTTTGTTTAGAAACAATTCCACGGTGCTGTGTGGGAGTTGTCATTCAATCACAGTCTGGAGATGGGACTTTGCAGCCCTCAGGGCTCCCTTTGCTGCTCAGGTGACACAGCAGGTTTTGCAGGTGAGGGATTTGTTGGAAAACACTTTTCCCCGTAAAAAATCGTGGCCCTTTTCCAAGGGGATGTTTTGGCAGGCAGAACCTCAGGATGTTTCTGTTGTATCTCAGGGATGAAGCTTTGGGGAATTTGTGTTTTGACAGGGAAGAAAGGAAAAACTCAGGGTTTAAATGGAGAGGTTTGGAAAGCAGGAGCATCCTGGGAGCACCAACCCCACTGGGCACAAAGTCCTGGCAGCTCCTTCAGCACCAGAGCTGGGCCCTGAGCAGGGGGGAGAAGATTTTCTTACTGRTTTTTTCATTCCCTGGTGCTGCAGCCCCCTCAGGAGGGGTCATTTCCCTTTGGCTGAGGATACAAGGTGTGGACAGGACCTGTTTCTATGGCAGCAGCCCTTTCTCACACTTGGGAATTTCTCCCATTTTGTTGGGTTGTTAATTCCAAATCTTTTTGGACAAAACCACCGTGGCAGGTGCCTCTCTCTGCCCCACCTGCTCTTCCAGAGCAATGAGCTCTCAACTCATTCACCTTCCAGGAGCTGATGATCYCTGTGGGTCCCAGCTCAGGTTATTCTGGGCTTCACTCTCTTTAATTTCARACATCTTCAAATCCTCCACTGAAGCGAATAAACATCAGCAGTGACAGACACGAGACCCTGGCAGGGGTGGTGGCCCCTTCCTTGCCTTCCTCAGCCTCCTCTGTGAGGATCACCTTGATGAGCTGCTACCAAGGGAGAGAATATCCTGACTGGAAGGGACCCACAAGAATCATCCAGTCCAATCCCTGTCCCTGCACAGACACCCCCAAATCCCACCCTGGGCATCCCTGGCAGTGCTGTCCAAACGCTCCTGGAGCTCTGGCAGCCTCAGGGCTGTGTCCATTCCCTGGGGAGCCTGAGCATGCCCAGCACCCTCTGGGGACAGAAGAACCTTTCCCTGAGATCCATCCYAACCCTCCCTGACACAGCTCCAGCCCTTCCCTGGTCCGGTCCCTGTCACAGAGATCGGAGCTGCCCCTCCTCTGCTGCTCCAAAGGGTGGCACTGCTGGGACAGGAAAAACCTGCAAATAATGAGGAATATTTCCTTGGGGGGTTAGTGGAGACACCAACCCAACAGCACGGCCCTGTCACCGCCAGGGTGTCGGGGCTGACACATGGGAGAACCATGGCAAGGAAATGGGTCACATCTGCACAGGAGGAGCGAGCCCGTGTGGCCCTGAGCGCTCTGGAGGAGTTGGGTTTGCACAAATAATGTAATTTTCAATTTCAGGCACGAAAAGGGTCAGGACAGACAGGTCTGGGCAGCCTGTGACAGGGGATGGCTGTGGTCATTCCTAGGGAAAAGAACCTGTCACTATCTTTGAGGCGACCATCACGGAAATGTGAATTCCATATTTCAGATATGAGCCACCAGTTTCTCACAGATCACCAGTCAGCTTCCCATGACACACTGGGCTTCCAGGCTTTCCTTCCTGTGCAAAACAAACCTGTCCCTCAACCCTAACCCTATTCCCTAAGCCTAAACATAAACTGAAAATCAAACCCTAAATCCTAAACCCCAACCTCTATCCCTAACCCAAACTGCTAAACCTTAACCCCAACAACAACCCGAATCCTAACCCYAAACCCTAAATCCTAACCCTAATCTCTAACCCTAAACCATAAACCTAACCCTAAACTCTAACCCTAAACCGTAAACCTAACCCCAAATCCTAAACCTAACCTTAAACCCTAATCCTAAACTCTAAATCCTAACCCTAAACTCTAACCCTAAACCATAAACCTAACCATAAAGCCTAACCCTAAACTCTAACCCTAAATCCTAAACCTAACCCCTAAATCCTAAACCTAAACTCTAACCCTAAATCCTAACCCTAATCCTAAACTCTAACCCCAAACCTAGCAAGTAGAGACTAGAAAGATAAATAATCCAGGTGAGGAGAAAGCAGATGATTGAAAGATCCACAGCAAGGTGAATTGAAAGATATWAAAAAGTATAACAAAATRTRCACRGCAGAAACAGGAATAAAGAGAAGAATAGGAAGTAGGTACTAGAAAGATGAACAACRAACTGAATAGAAAGTAGCCAATAAAAACCAGATACTGAAACTAGAAATAGGAAGAGGAATAGAAAGCAGATATTAGAAAGGTTGATAGACCATGGATAYCCAGACCATAGACACCGAAAATGTGGAAGGAGGAGGTTCCAGGCTGGGRCTCTTTGTTTCCGGTTTATTCTCGATGGTCCTGGAGCGGTTGCTGGCTTTTTTATTTTTTTAATGTGCTTCGGTTTTTGACCCTTTTTATGCCGCTCCATTTTGTGTGTCTGTGTATGGTTTTGCTTATTTTTGCCTTTTTTTTGCAGTTCTTTGTGCTGCAGGTATTAGGTATTGGTTACAGGGTGGCGGCAGAAAAAAAGATTTGCCCTCTGATTTGCATATACAATAGAATATTTGCATAATTACTSATTAATAATTATTCTTTCGTGCTCCATATGGGAGTAAGTAGGGTGGAGAATAATAGTAATAATACAAATGGTGTTATTTCCATCTGGAGCACTATTTATGGGCTWTATGCACTATAAATAAAAGAAGACGAATAATAGCGTCTG